CGTGGCTGGGGTGCATCTGATGGGAAAACAGGAGCGTGGCTCCCGTGGCCCGACTCCCCCACCCACTCTCCTGGTGTGGGTCAGAGGAAGAAGCGAGGTCCCTGAGGCTGCACCCAAGTGAGGGCCCGCTGTCCTCCCCCTGCTCTCAGAGCGATGTCCTTGGGGGTAAGTTTATCTCCTGGCCTCAGGGAGCAGTGCCTCCTCCCCACCCTCAGTAACTGCGGGCTCAAAGTGAGGTCACAGGAGAGCGGGAGAGTGCTGGGACAGAACCACTGCTCCCCATCCCTGGTGCAGATCTGCGTGTTCACAGAGCACAGGGACGTGGGACCCACGGGGGGCTGCCACACAGGGCAGGGGTCGCCAGGGTCTTGTCTCTGGGGGTAAGGCCCAGCACGGAGAGGCACCCAGGGCTGGTGGTGGGGTCAGCAGTGGGGGCAGAGAGGGAGGGGAGTGGGTGCTGCAGGCGCCAGGGAGGGAGAACTCAGGGCTGGGGTGGGGTCAGCATACCTACCAAGTCCTGCTGCAGCTCCTGGCAAGCTTGTCTGGGCTTGTCTTTGTCTTGGGCCTGAGCTTCTGTTTCCTGCTTTCAGGACTCTGTCTGGGCCAGCCCCTTATTGGGGAGTGACCTCTCAGGGCCTGCCCTCCTTCCTGCTTAGGGGTGGGAGGACCTCAGGGTGCAGGAGCTTCTTCAGGCTCAACCTCCTCTCTCCTGGCCCTCCCACATCCCTTACCTGGGAAGTTCTTGCAGGCTTTTCTCAGCCCTGAGGTTTGTCTTGGGGTTCAGGGTGCATTTCCTGTTTCCAGGACCCTGGCTGTAGGTGCCCCTTATCTGTGAGAGACCTTCCAGGGCTCTGGGAGTGGAGGCCCTGCCTGCCTCCTCCTCCTAGTCCCTGGATGGGAGGGCCCACCTTCCCTGCTCTCTGGCTGGGCACAGCAGGCCTCTGATGGAGCCTGGTCCCTGGGTGCAGCAGCCTGGGGAACTGCAAAGGGAGAGGCAAAGTCGTTGCCAGAGGGAGCAGGTGCCCAGACCTGCTGAGGGCACAGGGCAGGGGCCTCCCTGGTGGATGGGACAGGCAGGGGCCCTCTGCCCACCACCCCTCCCAGCCACATCTGGGTCCAGAGCTTAGTTCCTGCCTGGTGTGACAGGAGGCTTTGGGCAGGACTCCTTGTTGTCACTCCCTGTACGACAGCAGTGGGGTTCCTGTGCTGAGTTCCAATTCTTGGCATCTCCTTACACAGGTCTCCTCTGCTGCCCGAGGTGGTGGAGATGCTCAGACATCCTGATGGGACTGAGGGGCTCAGGCTCAGAGTCAGCCCGGCCGCTGCTGAGGACAGTCAGCTGTACATGGCAGGGCTGAAGCGGGGCCCCACCCGGGCTTGCCCAGGACCTCCGCTGCCCTCTCTCTGGGCAGTCAGGACGTGAGACAGGAGTTAGAGCCCGTCTACTGGTAGCTTGGGCCCACCCCGTCCCCTCCAGAAGAGAGCCTCTGTTCTGTGTGGCACCTGACTGTTTGGCCTTCCCTTTCAAAACGAATTATTTTTTATTTAACTTTATTTATTTATTAAATTTTGGCCAGAGAGGGACAGAGTGAGAGAAAAAGGGAAAGTGAGAAAGCAAGCCCTCAGGTCCGGGACACGAACCACGGTCAACCATGTGGGAGTCTAGCACTTTAATCACCATGGCACCTGCCGACCCCAGGACTCCTTTGTACCTACTTGTGTTACCGAACTCAAGTCAGGTTCTCTTGCCAAAGCGCTATAAAACTATACCATAGGCACATGGTGTTATGAAGGAAAGTACTGCTTTATTGCAAAGTGCAAAGTGAGGAGAGCGGGCAGCTCTTGCTGAAAAGACCCAGGGCACAAATTCACATGGTCCCCCTTCTACCTCCATCCATCTAATGAGCACAAACTCCAGTGGGAGTCTCACCCCATCACCCAGAGGGGAGAACAAAGGCTCGGCTGGGCGACATGTCTTACCCAGGACCTCAACGTGCAGACGGCACCGGGTGTGCACCCACCTCTGAAGGGTTCATGCTCCTCTCCACCCCAGATCACACATACATTTAGGGAATTAGGTTTCTGAAATTAGCAAGACCCTGAATCCTAGTTGCAGGATGGTCCCTGCCTTCTCCTGCGTCCTACTGCCTGTACCAAGGTCACCTGCCTCAGCACGGAGCTGGCCTGGGGTGGGTCCCACCAGGCTGCCCTTTTGCACCATCCACTCCTGTCAGGACCATGCAGTCAACACAGGCTGAATATAAAGGAGCTGCCTCTCATGCCTAAAACAGGGACTGGGCTGAGAAGAAACTGTGAGCAAGGTCAACAGTTTATGAGTTCCAATTCTCCACTGTGTTTTTTTGTTTGTTTGTTTTTTGTTTTGTTTTGTTTTATTTTGTTTGAGAGGTTTTTCACTATAGGGTGCGTGCGTTCGCCAGACAGACAGAGACAGAGAGACAGAAAGTGAGAAATCACCCCCCGGAGGGGATGACCACGCCGCAATCCCTTCTCCTCCATTCTCCTCTCGGGATCTTGGGCATGCACACACACGCGCCTGGCGTGGGTTTTAAGCCACCGGGTCTGGGACGTGAACCGCAGTCGACTGTGTGGGAGTCCAGAGACATAGCCATTACACTAACTGCTGGTTCCCTAATTCTCCACTGTGTTGCTGTGCTGGTCTGTACTCAATTTCTCTGCCATGAGCTTTACTGTTATTATGGTACCCCACAAGGGGAAAATAACACCTCAGCCTTAATGCAACTTTACAATAAAGCCAATTGGTGATCCTGAAGGAATGTGATTTCCTAAGATGGCAGCATAGATCAGGAGATTTGAGACTCCCCCACCTGCCTGTATTAAGCCCAAATTAGCATATGTTAGGTTAAGTTAGTATAAGCCAAATTAGCGTTAGTAGCATATGTAGACTAAGTTAATTTAAGGCTAATTTTATGTAAATACCCCTTGTTAGAGTTACAGGCCAAAGTTAACTTATGTTAGGTCAAGTTAGCTACCCACTGCCATGACAGGGACCCAAAGATAAAGCACAAGAATTCACTGATTAACAGACAAAGAATTCAGCAAATAAAATACAGGGACCCGTGGGTTAATAGAGGAAGGACAGATCTGGCTAACAACGACAGAATAAACAAACCTGAAGGCTCCAGGGGGAAGATTAACTATATTAGCTGGAAGTTCTTATCTAGTTCGGGCAAGCAACAGATAGTCCCTAACTACACATAGTTTCTCACGTGTGCTGTTAACTATGAAAAACTGCTAATAAAACATCCTGTGTTGTCTCCTGAGCTACAAAACCCTCTCATGGAAAAAGGCCCTGTCCGGTAATCAAGATTTAAGAAGAAAATGCACTGGACAGATGGACTCCTTCGTCCTGAGGACTGTGTTTGGCTTCACCTGATCAAACAGAACAGTGCATCATGATTTATGATTATTGTTTCCATACTTTGTATACTCTATTTCTTAGAGTAAATCTTTTACTTCCCCCTCACCCCTCCTACTCCTGTAAAACATCCCTCAATAAATGCATATGTTTGATAGCCACTGGGGCTGCAGCTGGAGCCTACTCTGACTGCAGTCGGCTAGAACATGCTAAAGAGCATGAAGGTCTCAGTGTGATTTTTGCTCACCCGTGTCACCTTCCTGTGTACGAGCTTCAGCCCACCCCAGCTGGAGCAGGCCTCCGGCACACTCCCCTATGCTGTCTCCTCTTAAGTCACCCTGGTCCAGTCCCCTGTGCCATACCAGGGGAGTCCATGTCTCAGGCACACTCCTGCCCTGGCCGCCTGGATGAGGACTGGCCGCCTGGTCCTAAGCTCTGGTGGACACCTCGTGACAGTGTCCCCTTCAGTCTCAGGTGATGCCATCCGCATGGACAGACAAGGGGGTCTCGGGCCCTGTACTGTGGGGGTCCTCCCACCTTACTTGATCTCTGATCTTGGGCCCCCTCCCCAGTGGAGAGGATGTTCCCCTGGCATCTTAGATGGTTTCCCCAGTGAATTTCTCTTGGGTGTGCGTTTGTGCTGTTTGTCCTATAAGTGCTTCTTGGTTCACACTTACCACACACTACAGGCATTGCACACCTGTCATACTTACAGCCCTCGTGAATTCGAGATGGCATGTGCACGAGCCTCGGGCCCGGAGCCCAGGAGGGTCATGTCCTGCTCACATTCCAGACATGACCTACATGCTGCCTTTCCTGGAGGACAGGTCTGCCTGCCCCAGCAGCTCCCTGCAGCCCCTCCCTTCCAGCCACTCAGACCCACCGTGCCTGCCCAGTCCCTGCGGCCATGGATAGAGGTCTCCTTGCACAACGCCTCAAGTGCAGGTGGAGGCTCTGAGGAGTCAGGGGCTCCTGCTACAAGACACTGTGCCCCATGGGACCCTCGAGGGCAAAGCCCCAGGTCCTTCTCCATCCCACTCCAGGTGACTCCTGCCCAGAGCAAAGCCTCTTACCTGGTTCACCCCACACCCCACACACACCTGCACCCCTGGAGCAGTGAGTGACCTGAGCTTTGCTCATCCTGGCCACACCTCCCCACTGTCTGTTTCCTGAACCCCAGGCCTGGTCTACTGTTGCCTTTGCAAGATCACACCCACCCTTGACTGCAAGGTGACCTGGAGGGGCCAGTGTCCCTGGGCATTGGCAGCCCCAAGAGAGTCAGGCTACCATGGACGGAGGGGTGGGGGGGGGAACTGTCCAGATGTCAGGGGCCCAGCAGTCCCTGGGAGCCTCCAAGACTACTTGGAGCCAAGTAGACTACAGTGGACCCTCATGGCAAACTCTCCAGATCCCACATTGCTGGGACATCGTCCATCCCTCCTGCCCACACCCCAGCCCGGCCAGGTCACCTGGCCCCTTGGGCCCCTCCTGACCTGCCTCCTTGCTCTGGCCCTGATAAGCCCTTGCCAGATGTTCCCACATCTGGAAAATTCATTTTCTGTGATTTTCCAAGAGAACATTGGAGTCAGAGAATCCTCCTTGGAGAACAGGAGGGGAGTCAAGGGGACACTTTTCTGGCGTCTCCCACAGGTGTCTGGAGAGCCCGTCAGCTACAGGGTGGGGCCAGTGGGAAGCAGAGAGGCTGCTTCAGATCTGCAGAGCACTGCAGAGCAGACCCGCAGCTGGCCTCAGGAGTCTGGCCCTCAGCTCTAGGTTGTGCACGCGCCTCCTCATGTGGGCTCCTCTGTTCCCAAGGAGGATTCTGCTTCCCCACAGAGAGTCCTTGAAAATCCCTGCTCTGGTCCATGCCAGATCTCCATGCCAGATCCAAGATAGACTTCTTGGTCCCAGGCCTGACACCTGGGCAGGTCCAGGGATAAGTCCAAAAGGGGAAGACCAGGCCTCAAGTGCATGAACAAGGTCCTGTCCTCAGGGAGGCCCACAAGAGTCAGGCCACCATGCCCAGGGTGAAAGGCCATCCGATCCTCTGCTGTGACCCTCCTACCCTGATCCAAAACTCCACATTGGTGGCCACTCTGATTCATTCGCCTCATGGAAGGACCCTCTCCTGAGACAGCATGCACAGGGGCGTCCCTGTCTGGGCTTCTGGTTCCTATGGGACAGGCAGGTGACTGGGACATGCAGGGGTAACATTTCACCCT